GTTCTAAACATTCACTCAGGGGCCATATTAATCCGAGTTCGAAACATTCACTCAGGGATTACCAATCGATCCCAAGGGCCACATTAATTTGAGTTCGAAACATTCACTCAGGGACTACCAATCGAGCCCAAGGTCCACCTAAATACAAGTTCGAGCATTCACTTGGGGATTGCCGATCAAAAACAATCTCGGATGGTCCAAGCAAAAGACCTATTAGATAACACTCGAATTTAAAAGGCTAAGGACATATTAACACAACCGAGAGAAATCTCGAACTAAAGGTATCAAGCCCAAGGGCCACCTAAATCCAAGTTTGAACATTCACTTGGGGATAACTGATCAAAAACAATCTCGGACGATCCAAGCGAAAGACCTAGTAGGCAACACTCAAATTTAAAAGGCTACGGCCATGTAACACAAACTAGAGGTATCAATCCCAAGGGCCACCTAAATCCAAGTTCGAACATTCACTTGGGGACTGCTGATCGAAAACAATCTCGGACGGTCCAAGTAAAAGACCTATTAGGCAACGCTCGAATTTAGAAGGCTAAGTCCGTATTAACATGGCTCGGAGACATCCGAGACCAGTAACAAAAACAAGACCTTCGAATTTTTTTTTCTATAACCAGTTCTAAAGGTTGCCCTATGCAAGGCTATAAACCTAAGACATTTCGAGAAAGAATTATCAGTAATATCGAACCCCTACAATGCCTTAACCCAAAGCGGCCAAGGTTTGATCGAACCTTCGAACATAACCTAACTATTTAATGTTAAGGCATTTCAACCTTTGTGAACACAAATGGAAAAGCATAGGAAAATTTCAAAAGCCATAGAAAGTAAAAGCCATACATATATATCAATATTTATTTATAAGGGCTGAATAGCCCTGATGCATGTTTTTTTTTACAAAGGACGAATGGCCTCAACAAAAAACTAGTACAAATGACAAAACTCTAAAATGCCCTAATCCTCATTGGGGGCTACGTCGTCGCCTACGGGATCTTCTTCCCCATCGGACTCACCCGACTCTTCAAACGCCTCAGAATGTTCCTCGGGAAAAGCTAGCCTTCGGGCATTGGCTTCACCTATCTTGGCATTTTGATTTCAGCCAATATATCAAAATTTTGAGCATGGACTCACTCGAGGGCCTCCCTCCGGGATTCCCACCTCGCATGATTCACCATGATTTTGGCCTGCTCCTAGATATCCTCGTCATCAACCTTGAACTGGGCCACCTTTTTATCAGCCTCGGTCTAGGCCGTGACAAATTCTAACTTGGCAGCCTTGAGCTCCTTGTCCAAATTCTCTTGACCAGAAATAGTCGAGCTCAGCTGAGATTGAAGTCCCTCGATCGTTTTGGCCTGTGCCAAATTCTTCTTCTTTGTAGCCCGAAGATGAACCTCAGCTGAAGCCAACTGGGCCCGGGAAGTCTCTTTCTCCGAGGCCAGACGATCCATATTCTTTTTCCACTCTTCGGCCTCGGTATTGACCGCATCCACCTCCCCTCGGCGTTGCTCGATCACATCAAGTTTATTCTGGACCTTCAGATACGGATCATTAGCTATTGAGTCCGACTCATCATCACTAACTTTAAAAATTCTCCTTACCCGCTCGACCAGGTCGGTATGTTCCCTACGAGTCGCTTCTAGCTCAGCTTGGGATTTCTCACTAAGGAGCTTGTAAGCGTCCCTCTTTTCAGCAAGCTCCCGGTCCTCAGCCTCGTAACATTTTGACTCCTTCCGGTATCGAAGAAAAGACTCGTGATGAAGCACCGAGGCCGACAAACAGAAAGGAAAAACGTTGTGATTATTCATGTTTAAAACTAAGTACATAATGAAGGGGCATTCGAAATTACCCGATTCAGCGCCTGTTGAGCTTCGTTGAATAGGCAGGGCACCTCTACCTCATTCATATTGGTTTGATCCTCTTTGATTACCAAGCACCGAAGGTAACTGGCGATCCCCACCAGGGCATAAAGAACCCGGGCATCCTCCGGGTTGGACATATAAATTGCCGGTCTCCGAGTAGGATCAACACTCGGAACTGGGAACTGGTTTACTAATTTTGGTCTTGAAGAGGGCTCGCCGGCTTCCGAGGATGGTGTCTTTTTCGGTACCGGTAAGTCACCCAACTCGGTAACATCCTTCGAGGCAGAAGACTCCAAGTCATCGAAGATGTGGTGAAGCGAATTTACTGCTTCTTGTCCCCCCTCGCCAATGTTGCCTTTCAATGTCTGGGCCTTGTTTATCATTGAATTGGTAAACAAAGGCGACCCAGAAAGGTCGATCACCCCAAGCACCTCCTTAGGCATGTTATCTTCTGACCGGGAAGTACCGGCCAAATTTCCTTGGTCAACTTCCACAGCTCGGGGCGAAGCGGTCTCGACCATCCCTGGTTCGTAGGCTTCAACCGCTCCTTATTCTACTGACTTCATAGCTTGAGGTAGCTCAGAACCATTCCCCACACGGGCCACCAGATTGGAATCTTCTTCTTCTTCTTCTTCTTCTTCTTCTTCAGACACATCCATCAACCAGGGAAGTGAGTCCGATGAGAGCTCCCGGGTAATAGCATCTTTGGTTTAGCGCGCGAGTCGCTTCCTCTGTCTTTTATTTTCTGGGTTCGAGGGACTCAGAGCTTTTCTTTTCTTTTCTTTTCTTCTTGTCCTGTTTCGGAACAGGGGGATCAGTGTCTATATCATCGTCAGCTAATGGAGGCCTTATTTCGACGTCCTTTGGTAAATCTGCGAAAAGCAAATATAACGGATCAGAGACCGATGATGAGAAAACAAGATCAAATATATTATTAGGGAAAAACGCTTACCATGATTATGGGCCACCCATCGGCCCTTCGAGAGCTTATGCCATAAGTGCTCAGGGTAAGGTCTCTGTGTTACGATGCCCTCGACCCACTCTTTAAGTTCAGGAATGGGGTCCGGCATTTGGGCGACAGCTACATCAAATAACATCGATGAGAAACCAACGGAATGAAAAGAAATAAAAGAAATACCGAAGGCAAAGTTAAACTTGCGTTTCATGTTCCATTTTTCAGTAAATGGCATGTCCGCGGCTGGGATTAAGTCTGAAGTCCTCACTCGAAAAAATTAACCAAACCAACCCCGGTCTCGATCCTCGTCGATACTCGAGAACAAGGTCTTAGTAGCCCAACGTGCAAGCTTGATTAAGCCTCCTCGGTAAAGTCGAGGGCTGTACAGGCGCATCAAATGGTCGATGGTAAATGGACACCTCTCGACCGTGCTCATAAAGAATCGAAGCAGAATAACGATCCTCCAAAAAGAAGGATGTATCTTCCCGAGCGTCACGTCATACTTTTTGCAAAAGGCTATGATGACCAGGTCTAAAGGACCCAACGTTAAAGGGTAAGTGTAAGCACTTAAGAAACTATTCATGTAGGTGGTGATTGACTCTTCGGGGGTAGGAACCACTACGAGTTTGTCTACCCAGTTACAATCCTTTTTAACTTTATCGAGGATATTGTCTGTAATCGTGCATATGTACCTCAAGACTGGTTCACACCGACCTGGTACCATAGGCGTATTCTCAACCTTGAAATCAGCCACAGTTGGGCACCCAGCAGGGATGTATGATCTCATAAGAGGCTCCTCGGTAGCAACATGAGAAACGCTTTCAGAAGGTTTTGAAGAAGAAGGTGCTTCTTTTTTAGGAACAAACTTTGAAGTCTTTGTCGTTTTTTATAAAAACCAAAGAAGAGAAGTTGTTGGTAAGGGCAGCTTTGAGACTAACAGTTGAAAATCAGAAAGTGAAGGTGGTGAAGTTTTCTTAGAACACAAGAAAAATTTGAGTGTAAAAGTTCTAATAGACGGATTGAAGGGCATTTATAGGTTTCTCAAGCGGCGGTTCATTTCTCGAAATGGCCGACCGTCAACTGACACACATTTAATGCCTTGGAGATTAAACCGACGGGACATTTCAGTTACCTTTTGTCGCTTATGTCATGGTTTATCGAAGTGAAGACCGAGGGTTCATATCATTTTTCATCATTTACTCTCCAAACAACGAGGGGACTATCTGTATACGGGTAAAACCGAGCTCGATGCTTGGTCGAGTATCTGGAACAATAGACCAGGCTCGGCACATCTGCAAGAGATCGAAGTTACAAATAAAATCGAGCTCGATATTGAGGTTCGAAGTTCGACAATACCATCAGATTTTCCCTCGAGTTTACCGAGGGCACGACCAATCCTACTTCTAACGGCCTCGAAGAAAAGCTTCGCCAGCTCATCCGATAAGGATCCGTGATTCTCGCCATTAACCAATTATTATGGCAGAAATAACAGAATTAAGTCAAAAAAGGAGTCAACGGTCTACATAATTTCTTATAAAATAATATTTTAAAACCCTCATCTCCCTAAATATATAGACGGAACTTAGTAATTCAGGGGACATATTGTAACATACTTCAAAGAGTGGCATACTATTTTTTTCAGCTTTGTTCATATTATTCTGGCTTCAATAATATCACATCTAGATTCGAAAACAAATTGACCCTACGTTGCTTAAGAATATGCATGGTTTGTATTTATTTGTTCTTCCATATTAAATCTGATTTCTAGCTTTGTATCAAATTAGATCATGTATCCTTAAAATCGCGTATAAATTCAATTGTTATCCTACTTTTTTTTAAAAACTTTGTGACTAGTCAAACATATCAAAAATTGGGATGATCAGGAACTGGAAGTGGCATTTGTCTTAGAGTTTACAAAACATATTTCGTATTTGTTTTGTTTGAACTATTTTTGTAACAAATGTTTACTTTTTATATTTTAAGATATTTGTTTAAGATAATTGGATGATGTAGTACAAGTACTATCGTCATTTATCACTTCATATATTGTAATGAAAGTCAAGTTTCTACGGCCGCGTTTAACCGGCCAATTTCCTTGCGCTACACGGAGCAGACACTTCTTCTGAGCTAACTTTAGCAATTTAAAAGTAGTATATATAGTTGTACTAAACACGCCTCCAAATTACTAAAACCACACTAAGCTCCCATTTTCATTTTCATCCTCATTCATAATCTTACTAAAAAAAATACCTTAGAAAAGAACACCAATATGGGAGCAATATCATTGACTGAATTAGGCTCTAAGCTTGCTGGATTGATGTTCATTTGGGGCACAATCCAGCAATTCTTCCCCTATACACTCCGCAAACGCATCAAATACTTTTGGCAGAAATTGGAAAATTACTTCTACCCTTATGTTCAAATTACTATTGATGAATTCACCAATGGTAAAAGCAACGATATATACACCCAGGTCAACTCTTATTTGGGTACTAAGTCAATCAACAAAGATGCTAAATATCTCAAAGCTGAAAAGTCCAAGAATAGTAAGTCTGTTGCTGTTAGCTTAGACGAAGGAGAAGAGATTACTGATCAATTCCTAGGAGCTAAACTCTCTTGGCGCTCTCATATCGAAACATTCAATGAAAATTCTTCAGGACGTAAAAATTCACGTCCAATTGAAAAGAAAAGTTACACTATAACTTTCAATCAACGATATAAAGAAATGGTCATTGGAAAATACTTGAAGCATGTGATGGAAGAAGGTAAGGTTATTGAGTTTAAAAACAGGAAACAAAAGATTTACTCCAACAATTGTAGTGAGGATTGGTATTGGTATGAAAAAGGTATGTGGAGGGACATTAACTTTGAGCATCCTGCAACTTTTGATACTTTGGCTATGGACCCTAAGAAGAAGAAGGAAATAGTCATCGATCTCATTGCTTTTAGCAAAGGAAAGGACTATTATTCTAAGGTTGGTAAAGCTTGGAAGCGCGGCTATCTTCTTTATGGTCCGCCAGGGACAGGAAAATCAACTATGATTGCAGCTATTGCGAACTTCTTGAATTATGATATTTATGATCTTGAGCTCACTTCTGTTAAGGACAACTCAGGGCTTAAGAAGTTGCTTATGGAAACAACAAGCAAGTCTATTATTGTAATTGAAGATATTGATTGCTCTATTGATCTCACAGGCAAGAGAAAGAAGAAGAAAAAGAAGAGCGAGGAAACAGTAAACGAAGATCAGGAAGATGACTCAGACTCGTCTAAAGAAAAAGCAAGTGAAAATAAGGAAACTGGCAAACTTACACTTTCAGGACTGTTGAATTTCATTGATGGAATATGGTCAGCTTGTGGTCAAGAGAGGATAATCATATTTACAACCAATCATAAGGATAAACTTGATCCAGCTCTCATACGTAGAGGACGGATGGATATGCACATTGAGATGTCATATTGCAAATATGAAGCATTTAAAGTGTTGGCTAAGAATTATTTGGATATTGAAACACACCCTCTGTTTCAACAGATTCAAGGTTTATTCGAGGAAGTAAACATTAGTCCTTGTGATGTGGCTGAGAATTTAATGCTGAAAAATGTTTCTGAAGGGCCTGAGATTTGCTTGAATAACTTAATTCAAGCTCTGGAAAAGGCCAAGGAAAAGGCCAGTAAAGATAAAGAAGCTAAGGAAAAAGCCAGCTTGAATTCCAAGAACATCAAAAAGTTTTCCACAAAATTGGTTGGTCGTCTAAAAACGTTGTGGAAATGATGTTTCCATATGTTTTCAACTTCACTTACCTGATCTTTCCTTCTCTTTTTGGCGGCCAGGGGATTGGGGCTTCTCCATGTATAGTCTTATTACTCTTATCTTATTATAATCAGAAGTAGAATAAAGTTTGGTGTCTGTTCTTTGATTAAATTCTCGGCCTTTTTGCTTGAAATACTTGCAACGATTATTTTGCAAACCAGCTTAATTGATATATGAGGCAATAGGCATCATACTCGATTTGACTTAGTCCTTTCTTGAGTTGAACTTCAGGAGTGGAAGAGTCATCCCATTGTGTGACAGGAATTTTAGATTTTGCTTCTATAATGTTAGGATAATATAGTTAGAAGTAAGTTACCGTATGTAAGATTTAATTTCTGATGCCTCTGAATCTTTAGGATGTGGCCGGTGCTTATAAGTTCTGATCAACTCTGTTTTCTTGCATAATACTGCTATTCAAATGTCTTCTCAGGATTTCTATAGTGACAAATATTTTGGATGAAGTGTATTTAGCTAAAACTAATTAACAGATAAAAGGGACAAACACTTTGGACCTCAAATTTAAGAATGTAAAAAGCCTGCTAAACCTAGTTTAAGATTGGCAGTTAGAACACAATGTAACCATATAATATCCAATTGACTGTTACGAGTTGTCAACTTATGTCGTTGTAATTCAGAGTAACTTTCGGCTTACTAGATGTTCTGACAAATAATGTGGAAGAACATGAATTCATTCTTTGGGTAGTTGTCTACTATTGTTAATCTCAAGCATTAATCTTTGTTAATTAAGTACTTTATTTCGTCCCAATTAAATTCTCATGATCTACCTCATAAGAAAGCTTTATAAGCTAAATAACTGATTCTAGAAAAAATAAGAAATACAATCCGTGATTTAAACAATTCTCCATCCCGGAAACTACAGAAAGGTTCTTTACACATTTTTAATGAAAGGTTCTTTTGACCTTACATTTTTCAACGATTATTTCACCTAAAATGTAATCCAAAGACAATGCTTTTTGGAAGGTTCCAACTTCCAAGAGGCAACGGTCTTGATTTGACAATTTGGGAGGCGAGAAATTCATTGATTAATTTCAGGGGAAAAGAAAATGCACGATGGTTTAATTGATTTAAAGAAAAGAAGCAAGTTAAAGTAAATATTTAATAAGTTAAACCGATCAAATAATTCTTTTTATATATAAAACTTGACCTACTGCTAGTTATATTAATTACAAAAGAAATTGTATTGAATGAAAAAGCCAAAGTGAAAAGTGAAAGTAGTTAATAGCTCGAGTTGGACTATTTTTTCAGTTTTTGCCACAAATATTATTGTGGATTCCACCGAATGAAAGAGAAAAGGCCTCAACAATATATTAGAGTTCGAAACCTTTCCTCTAAGGAGGAAAAAATATATATGTTGGAGACTTTCAGTAATACTTTTGCTCAAAAATATTGAAAATTTAATTCAGACCACCAAACTAATCTTTGAGATCATGGATAAATAAAGAAGGATGCAAAAGTTTAATGCACCAAGTTCAAGTAATGCAAGAAAAATAGAGTTGATGAGAACTTTTAAGAACCTTAGCTCACATCCTAGAGATTCTTTTTTCTTTAAAAAAAAGTTCTTTTTTCCCTTTGTTGGAGCTATTGCTCATTTGGTGATCTCAAACCCACGACTATTATAGATGGAGAGTGTTAACCATATAAGCAACCCCTCTTGTCACATTCTAGAGATTCAGGTATCAAAAAGGTAACGTACTCTAAATTTACTTTTGACTTTTACATCCTAACATCCTCCAAGCAAAGTCTTATTATTCATGTTTAGCCAGAGACAATGTAAATTAAATCTAGTTGAGTGTGATGCATATGAATTTTAATTAAGAGTAGCAAAATAGTTGTTGAGGTTAAATTGCAAGTATTTTGACTTAAACCAACCTACGAAGTCAGTGAACCATAGATGAACCTTAACTAGTCATTCTGTTCAATTGGGCAACTTATAAACTAAATCATGTGTATAATACCATAATAATCAAAATCATGTATATAACAATATAATAAACTACGTAGTACCTAAGAAGATAAATATGACACACATTATTTGAAAAGTTTTTTTAGACGGCCATAACTTCTAACTGAATTAGCGGGTAACTTTTTGTTTTCCTTGGTTTCTTTTTTATCTTGATTTGCCTTTTCCTCGGAGAAAACTATCCTCTATATCCCCTCAAAATTTTAATAACTCATGTTTTTACTCATTGACACAAAATAGTCCTCCGGCCCAAACATATTACATCTAATAGCCCGAAATGTCTATTTTATATATTTTTTGTATAGTGACAGTCTATTTTGTATATTTGTTGTATGGTGACAGTCTATTTTGTATATTTTTTTGTATAGTGACAATCTATTTAGTACATATTTTGTATAGTGACAATCTATTTTGTATATATTTTGTATAGTGACAGTCTATTGTATATAAATTGTATAGTGACAGTCTATTTTGTATATTTTTTTGTATAGTGACAATCTATTTTGTATATATTTTGTATAGTGACAGTCTATTGTATATAAATTGTATAGTGACAGTCTATTTAGTATATTTTTGTATAGTGACAGTCTATTTTGTATATATTTTGTATAGTGATAGTCTATTTAATATATTTTTTGTATAATGACAATCTATTTTTATATATATTTTGTATAGTGACAGTCTATTGTATATAAATTGTATAGTGACAGTCTATTTAGTATATTTTTGTATAGTGACAGTCTATTTTGTATATATTTTGTATAGTGATAGTCTATTTAATATATTTTTTGTATAATGACAATCTATTTTTATATATATTTTGTATAGTGACAGTCTATTGTATATATAAATTGTAGAGTGACAGTCTATTTTATATAATTTTTGTATAGTGATAGTCTATTTGTATATATATATTTTTTGTAATATACCAATATTCAAAAGAAATACTCTCCAGTCTAATACATAATCTAAAATGATTTTAAAATATTAGCCTCATATACATTTTTTTATGAAAAGGTTGGTCCAAAAAAGAGATTAATAAAATATTCATGTTTGATATGCACGAATTGCAACAGAGGATAGGGAGAGTAATTGATACTTGGGGCCAAATGGGAGCCAACCCTCTTAAACATATTACAAAGAGGAAATGGCAATGATCATAAAAGAAGCAATGAGCTTCTATGGAGGTAAAAACATCTCCCCAAAACTCCTAAACGCTTGTATTTATAGATAGAGCGGGATTTCAAATTCCAAACGATCAAAGAGTCGTTTTAAACTGCAGCAGAGAAATTGGTCGTTTGTATAGGCATATCTCTAGAAAAAGATTAGAGGGGGGGCTTCACGTGATCTGCTTCAGAAAATATCAGAATTACTTGGCTTATTGTGTTGACCAAATCTCGTTGCAGACGAGAGAGAACAAAAAGTCATAGGTTTTGAAGGGAAAATCGAGAGAGACAAAGGGTGTGTTTAGTACGAAGGAAAATATTTTTCGGAAAAAATATTTTTCAATTTTTTCATGTATGGTTGGTTTAAATATTTTGGAAAACATTTTCCTTATGAACTCATTTTCCTCCAATTGGAGGAAAATGTTTTCCTTATCAAGATAAGGGAAAATATTTTTNTGAGGTTTATGTGTTTGGAAGTTTACGCATACCAAACACCGGAAAATAAAATAAGATTACTACTTGTTTTTCAATTCCATGAAAAACATTTTTCGTTATACCAAACACACCCAAAAGACTTACTCAAAATTGGAGGGGGCAAGCTTCTGCCATGGTCAAAAGCAGGCTGAACTTTAGCATAGAAGGGGAAAGGGTTGATAAGGGGGTGGTAGAAAGAGAAGGAGATTAAAAATCTGATTTTTGTCTCTAGGGTGAGATATTTGGGATTGCAGGTTTGGGTCTTTGATCGTTTGGGCTTGGAATTGGGTTGGTAGCTTGGTCATAACTGATATTAAATGGACTAGCTACTTAATTGGCTAGCCGTTATAATTGATTTTGGGCTATAAAATACATATTGTAATTTGTGGCTAGCGGCTGATATTAGTTTATGAAATTTGCTCTTTTCCTTATCTCTTTCTTTTCCTTGGCCTCTTTCAAAGACTGAATTAAGTTATTCAAGCAAATCTAAGGCCCTCCTGAAGCATTCTTGTGTATCAAATATTCAACCACACCACAAGGACTCATGTTTACTTCCTCTAGTAATCTTTGAATCTCTTCAAACAAATCGTGATTTTCAATTCTCAAGTAATTCTTAGCCAAAACTTTAAATGTTTCAAATCTGCAATACGACATCTCAATGTGCATATCCATCCGTCTTCTACCTCTACGTATCAGAGCTGGATCAAGTTTTTCCTTATAATTAGTTGTAAATATAATGATTCTTTCTTGACCACAAGCTGACCATATTCCATCAATGCAATTCAACAGCCCTGAAAGTGTAAGTTTGTTGGATTTCTTCTATTCGTTGTCTGCGTCTGAGTACGAATCCGAATTCGAGTCATCATCGTCAGATTTTTCCTCTTTCTTTTTCTTCTTTCTCTTGCCTGTCAAATCAACGGAGCAATTAATATCTTCAACGACAATGATAGACTTGCTTGTTGTTTCCATGAGCACTTCCTAAGACCCAAGTTATCTTTAACGGAGGTTAGCTCAAGATCTTAAATATCTCATAGTTCAAGAAGTTAGCAATAGTTGCAATCATTGTTGTGCTTAAATATCATGGCCGCGCTTCCACGCCTTTCCAACATTAGAATAAAAGTTCTTCCCCTCACTAAAAGCAACGAGATCGTTTTTTATTTCCTCTTTCTTCTTAGGGTCCATAGCCAAAGTATCAAAAGTTGCAGGATGCTCGAAATTAATGTGCTTCCACATACCATACCAACGTGTATAATAATTATCCCCACTATTGTCGTTACAGTAAATCCTCTGTTTATTGTTTTTGAATTCAATCGCCTTACCTTCTTCCATGTTTCCTTGTGAAAGCGCCAGCAGAGTTTCGCACCTTGGAATTCATCAATAGTTGATTCTCCTTCATCCAATATAACAGCAAAAGACTTGATGTTCTTGAACTTTTCAGCTTTGAGATGTTTAGCATCATTGCCGATCGACTTCGTACTCAAATAACTGTT